AAGCTTCCCCTCTGCAAGTAGAGGGTAATGCCTGGTGCTGATAGCAGGCCCCAAGGCATTACTAGCCCAGGGCTGATAGCAGGCCCCAAAATTCATTTAACTTGGCACTGATAGCAGGCCCCAAGACTTACTGGTTGGAGTTGATGGCAGGCCCAGGGTATCTGTTTACCACGGCGATCCCGTGAAGATGGGAGCAGGGTTGACCGAGCATAAGAGACTCCCTTTCCATTACCCAGGTCATAGACCTGCCTTAGTTGCACAGGCAGGATTAAGGAAGCCCCTTGGGCTTGGTACTAAGGAACAGCACGGCTGATAACAGGCTTGGCTGTGGCCTTTGCCCTGGGAAGCTGGGGAGTTTGTGGTTAGGTGGCTAAGGGTGAAGGCTTCGTTGCAGTGAGCACGAACATAGTCGGTAGCAGACTAATGGAGTGCTGAGAATGCATGCAGTGGCCAAGTAGAACTGAGAAGGCAAGTGCAGCAGCAAGGTTTACCGATGCAAATGCACTTGCTGAGGTTTGAGTTGAGAAGGCAAGTGCAGCGGCAAACGCTCCCGTTGCAACTGCACTTGCAGAAGCTCAAGAGGGAGTTGCAGCGCCAAACACTCCCGTCGTAACTACACTTGCTAAGGCTCAAAAAGGTAGTTGTGAAAGCAAACAGATAGTATACAACATATGTAGAAGGACACGTGGCACGTTCAGCCTGGTGGCTCAAGGCGGAATATTGCATGTGATCCTCTAAGACACATGTCCTCTCTCTATTCGGCCACTTGGTGTGCTCTTGGTACCAAGGAAAAGTCTATAAATAGGACCAATTTCCCAAGGTTCAACAAGAGGAATTTTTGGGATTTGAGGGAGATGCTGCCTATTTTGGCACTGCCATACATTTCTTCTTGAGCTACTTGCTTCACTCTCACCCAGCTGCGCACTCTCCAACTTCCAGACAGTTGCTGCTTCTCATTCTCAAGCCACTTCCACCATTTTTGAACCATTAGCATAGTTTTGCCTCTCTAATCACCTTTTCTAACCTCGAACCCCCTTACATTTCTGGCGACTCCGCTGGAGAGGCTGCTTTGTTGATGGTTCATACCCGCAGTGGTTTACACACCTCACTGGAAAAAAATGGCAGAGGATGTAGTTCAGCAAGGCTCTTCAAATGGCGGAGCAGCACATGCGGAGGACCGTGACCAGAGTGTTATGATTGAGGCAGTTCAGTCACTCCAGGATACGCAGAGGGAGATCCTGGCAGCTTTGCAAACTCTCACTGAGGCTGTTATGGCCATGGCTTCTCGACCAGCTCCAGCGCAAGCACCTCTCCCCGTAGCAGTCCCAAACCCAAGGCCTAACCGGTTCCCTGAGGTTTGGGCTCCGATCCAGGTGCCTCCGGTGGTACTTCAGGCGAACGGTGTGGCCGCTGGTTCAGCTACCCAGGAGCGGACTGGACCATTCCGGCCCACTCATTTTTTTACTCTAGCCGATGTACAAGTTATGCTCGAGCAAGAGCGTAGCAAGAAACAACTCCCATCTCTCCCCGACTTAGATGTGAGGGCCCCATACTCTCAGGAGATATTGACCATGCCATACCCAACTGGGTATACAGTGCCCAAGTTTATTAAGTTTGATGGGAAACAAGGCAATGTCAGAGAACAGGTGGTGAGGTTCATTGAAACTCTTGGTGTCCATGGCAGTGACCACTCTCTGCGCTTTCGGGAGTTCTCCAAGTCCACTTACTGAAAGGGCTTGCAGCTGGTATGTGAACTTGGCTCCCAACTTGATCAAGATTTGGGAGGAGATGGTGAACAAGTTCCACACAAAGTTCTTCCAAGTCCATGATAAAGTTACAACCCTCACCCTCAGGCGAGATGTCCAAAAGGAGGGCGAAGATATACTGGACTATGTTAAGCGGTTCCAAGATAAGGCTATTGACTGTCATGAACCAGTGGCTGGGGCCCATTTAGTCAGCCTATGTGTGGTGGGTGCCATACGCGACTACAAAATTTTCTTGGTGAATCATAATCTGCCTACCATTTTAGCCTTGATTGAGGCAGCTAGGAACCTCAGTACCACTGGTCCCTTGCACATATCTCATGACAGCCACCGTTACCCTCGCAGTAGCAGAGTTGCTGCGGTAACCTCTGCAAGAGGGAGCCACTCGCAAGGGGAGGCGACATCCTCTCGGAAAAGAACGAGTTATGAGGATAGAAATCCATGTCCTTGCAGCGTTGAGAATGTTAAGGCTCTGGTTAAAGAATGGGTAGCTGATGGTGAACTTACCTTGCCTCTAGTTAATGTCCCTCCAACCAAGAAGGACAAAGAAAGCCCGGATTATTGTGTCTATCACAGAACCACCAGACACCCTACTAGGGACTGTTGGACTTTAAAAAGTATCTTTAAGAAGAAAGTTGACGCAAATGAGCTGAAGTTCAAAGATGTCGGTAACTGTGATGTGTGGAAGGACCCTTGTCCTAACCACAAGGAGAAGGGGAAGAATGTACATATATGATTGGCTATCTCGGGCTTGTGCGTGATCAAGTGCATATGGCGTCTTACTATGATGAGTTAGAAGGAATTGTAACCGGCCCCAGCTCCCTGAGACAGTACCTGCAGAGGCAAAATTCGCAGAGGATGCTAATGCCCAGGCCTTGCAACACTCTGTTAAGTTTCGCGCCTTCTTTGACCTGTTGGGGTTGAGCCAAGCCCCGCTAGGTTGGAAGCAACAAAAGCCCTCATTAATAACTTTGAAGTGCACCAAGATGAAGTTGGAAGCAACAAAAGCCCTCATTAATAACTTTGAAGTGCACCAAGATGAAGTTGCTGAGGCTAAGGAGTATGTGCCTGGGCGCATCCAGGAAGCTTATGGGGCCATTACTTTTTCAAAGGCAGACAGAGCATACCCATTTCCCCATAATCATCCTCCTTTTGTCACATCATACATCAATGATGTAGAGTTCAAGCGTGCTTTCCTTGTTGGCGGGGGCGTCATAAACATCATCACTACTGACACCTTTGCAAAGGCTGGGATCCCAGAGTCTAGGATGGTTCGCCAACCCATCACTGTGATGGGTTTTGGCGGCGAGAAAAAAGATACCAAGGGCCATGTGGTCGTGGACTTAATAGTTGGTGAGATCCGTTCTGCAACCAAGTTTCATGTGATTGAAGCGGACATAAATTGCCACATGATACTTGGCAAAGCTTGGATGCACCGATATGAAGCTATCCTGTTGAGTTATCACTAATGCGTGAAGGCAACGTTGGGAAAGCGCACAGTAACCATATAAATGCGTCTGAACAGCCATTTGGGGTTGAGGAGGTACACTATTCGGATGCAGTTTTCTTTACTGAGTTGTCAACGGGTGAAACTCCCAGGACCGGTAAAGTTGTAGAAGTAAAATTGCCAAAATGGGAAGGCATTCGGGATGCAGGGGCTGCTCCAGAAAGTAGTGGGCAGAAGAGAAGCAGCTAGTCCACAAGTCCTCCGCCCAAGATTGTTAAGGTGTGGGAGGGCGGTAAGACAATTTACTACCTATGACGGACGGGTCTTGGAGGTTAGGCTTCATACCTTGGGAGGATGGCCCCGAGACAAATAAATGTGATGATGACGAGTCCCAAGAAGAGTTGGTGGAGACGTCTGAGCCCGCCCTTGAATGCGTGCAAGATAGACCAAAACCGCAGCAGGAGGTGCTTGCTGAGGTCAACCTCAGCGACTTATCAGGGCAGAGCAAGCCCCGTGTTCATCAGCGACACAATGGCTCCAACAGCTAAGGCAGAATTGATAACACTACTGAAGCGGTACACAATGACGTCTTTGCTTGGACATACGATGAGATGCCTGGTCTTGACCCGTCTCTTGTCACCCATCACCTGGATACTTTTCCCAACTCTAAGCCAATAAAGCAACATGCTTGAAAGTATCACCCTGACCTTGAGGCAAAGATTAAGGAAGAGGTAGAAAAGTTGTCGATGGCCAAGTTCATTGAACCTATACAGTACCCAACTTGGCTAGCAAATATTGTGCCTGTGGAGAAGAACGGCCAAATCAGGGTCTGCGTAGACTTTCCCGATCTAAATGAATGAGGCCTGCCCGAAAGATGAGTTTCCATTACCCCATGTCGACACACTTATCGATTCTACTGCGGGCCATAAGATGTTCTCCTTTATGGATGGGTTCAGTGGTTATAACTAGATCAAAATGACATCAGAAGATGCAGAAAAAACGGCATTTAGAACACCCCTTGGGAAATTTTTTCTATACGGTGATGCCCTTTGTTTTGAAAAATGCGAGGGCAGCCTACCAACGGGCTATGACTGCAGTGTTCCATGATATGTTGCATCATGAAGTGGAAGTATATGTGGATGATCTGGTGGTCAAGTCTATCGAGGCAAACCGACACCTCTGCGACTTGGAAAAAGTTTTTCAGCGGTGCCGCAAATTCTGCCTAAAGATGAGCCCTCTCAAGTGTGCCTTCGGAGTTACCGCCTGCGAGTTCCTGGCTTTTTTGTACACCGGCGGGGGACTGTAGTAGATGGGAATAAGATTAAATCAATCATGGAGATGCCACCACCACACTCTCAAAAGGCTTTGAAGAAATTCCTAGGCAAAGTGTCATACCTCAAGAGGTTCATTTCGGCCCTTGTTGAGATAACCTTTTCCTTTGGGACACTGCTGAAAGGGAATCACAAGTTTGAATGGTTGCAAGAACACCAGCAGACATTTGATATGGTGATGAAAGCCCTTACAATTACAACCCAACAAGCCTCTGCTACTGTACCTAACGTCTACACCTCGGTCTATTGCGGCTCTACTTGTCCAAGAGAAGCTAGTCTATTACATTAGTCGCAAAGTCAATGGTGTCGAGTGGCGATATACCCCAATTGAGAGGCATCGTTTAGCCTTAATCTTCACAGCATGGAAGTTGCACCACTATTTTTTGGAACACCCGGTCCATGTGACCCCGGAGTGATTCGGTCTGCTACTTGCTAAGCAAACCCGCTCTGACTGGAAGAATGGCAAGATGGCTTTTGGCTCTAGCAGAATATGACATCACTTGTGTTACTCCCAAGGCTATTAAGAGCCAAGCACTTGCAGAGTTACTGGCCCAATTCCCATCTGGTGAACATGAACCTGCAGAGGTATCTCTATCAGGTGCGGTCCATGTCTCAGCAGCTACAGTTGAGGCTTATTGGGACTTGAAATTTGATGGTGCTTCGGGAGCTGGGAAAGGCGGAGCTAGCATAACACTAACTAGTGAAGTAGGAGAGAAGTTTCATCTATCATATAGGCTTGATTTTGAATGTTCAAACGAGGCTGAATATGAGGCGTTGATACTGGGTCTAATCGCTGCCCAAAAGAAGGGACTCCGCAAGTTGAAAATTTTAGGCGACTCCGAGTTAATTGTCAGGCAAACAATGGGTGATTTCGCCTTAAAGGAACCTCTGTTGGGCTCATATCGCACCGTGGTTCAAGGGTTGCTCACTCAATTTGATGATGTCGAAATCCAGCATACCCCTCGAACACACAACCGTTTCCCCGATGTCTTGGCTACATTGGGGGCAAAGGTGGATATACCAGATGATAGTATAGCCATCGTCATCGAGAAAAGAACAACACTAGCAGTGTTAGCCGAAGAGCATACCGAGCAAGATGCTGAGGGATGGAAAGCCGATATAATCCAACAGAACAGTTGAAAACAGGCCAAGGAACAATCAGACTAGTAGAACTTGCATAATTTCTGCTCCTCAGAGGAGAGTTGTATTTTCGCGGTGCCAACAACTTGCTGGCACGGTGCGTCGGTAGACAAGTTCTATAAAGGGGACTTGGTATGGGAGACAGTGGACGCAATCATGCGGGGGAAACTAATTCCCAAGTTCTCAGCAAGATGGGAAGGCCCGTACAAAGTTGCTGAGGCAAGCAGCAGCGGGTACTACAAGTTGACAAGAGTAGCAGATGGGTTCAAAACTAGACCTATCATTGCCACGTTGTCTGCATGCTCGAGGAAACCATCGACTACCTAAAGCCTATACCTCATCCACGATAGGTCCAAACCTTTCCTGTTAAAGCCGCTCTGGTTTGCCTCAGCACTTTCCACGAACTTGCTACGGGTTGTCAGAATCTTCTTAGTAGCAAGGTCGCGAATGAAGCTGGCGAGTGACTCCAGCAGTGCGGTTTGCACCATAGATCCAGGAATGTTAAAAGCAGTAAAGGTGTTGGGGTGCTGCGCCTAGATGCGCGGCGAGAGTGGAAGCAGCTACGGAGGAGACCTAATAACTTGGAAATGAAACTTTCTCTGAGGGCTGAGGGGACTCCCTCACACCCCCGCCCGCTTCAATCACAGGAGGGAGATTGGTGGAGCGACCAAAGGTCTGAGGACGACGCACTTCCCCTGAAGATGATTGCCCAGCAGCATTGGAATGGGTAGATGCATTGTTGGCGACCAGGTGAACTAGCCTCGCGAGAAAGACTGAAGCTGCCTGCACCGTCAAGTCGTTCCGAAAAGTGGTTATCCATCTGGTAGCCTCCAACGTTCAGATTTGGAACAGTAGTGGTATCTGTCCCAGTATAAAAATCTTGAGATACCCCATGGTCAGTTGGCACTTCCGGAAAGTGAGTGGGGTACAAGTCTGCCAGCTATTGAGAGGTTGCCGAAGCAACTGCGTTAGAGGTCCCAGCGACAGCAGTAACAGTGTGGGTGGCTAATGTGACAGTTACACCTGCAAGTCGGTCCAAATTTAGAGGGGTCATAGCAGGAACAGTGGAAGCAGCCGCTACACTTGCACTATCCTCCGCCACTTGGGCGTTCGGAAATGGGGTCTACTGAACCAATGGAGACTCAGTGGACTGGAAGGAACCACCAGATACAGCTCCAAAGGGAGGTGGTGCAACTTCCAGCGGCTCTCTCATGCCGCTATCTTCCCTTGGGGTCTCGGGTTAAAAATCATCTCCGCCGACAGAGGAACGGTCGGAGTCCACAGAATCAGCGGGGTTTGGAGGCTCTGCACCCTTAGCAACTAGGCCGCCTGCAACAACTTCCACAGCAGAGGGAACTTCATTTTCTGCAGCCTCCACAACTGGATCAGCCTCAGTAGTTGGTGTGGCCCCAGCACTTGGTTCTTCTTTAACATCTGGAAGTACTGCCCTGCGGGTCCTGAACCTTGTGACCCTTGTAGCAATGGGAAGGTCGTCGTCACTGTCGTCGTTTGAATCTGAGGAAAGTCCGATGGCAGTGGAAGAACCTCCGGGGCCGATGGCATGGCTGGTGGGCCCTGAAAAGAAAAAAGGTTACGTGATTACCAAAGTAAACGTAAGAAGTCCAAGGAAACAATGCAAAATATTTTCTAAGTATGGGTACGTTTCAGAGTCTCTTCCTACTTGGTGAGGCACGTGCCTCGGCAACTGATGCCGCTGCCTCTTGGGCTGTACTTAGTCTAGAGCGGGTCGTCCGTAACTGTCGTGCCGACTTGAACAGGAGCAATTTGCCCCAGACGGGTGAGGCTTCTCAACGGTAGACAGGGAGAGATGCTTGAAGCGACAGAATATACTGGTCTGTTTCCCTCGGCCAAAGGGCAGACGAAGAGATAAGTCAGGCTGCGGGATGGGTTCCATCGCAGGGACTACGGGAGCACTGTTGCAAAAGTTGAAGAAAGAATTGAGGTTGCAGTGCCAGAACAGCCTTTTATTGGGAGTAAAGGCGCCCTCTCTTCCATGTGAGGGAGGCTCCATGATGCCTAAGCCCTCCACAAGTAGAGCGATATAATCACGGGCAAACCACTGAAAGCTCTGGTGGTAATCAGTCTGATGCGGAGGGGCATGTGGGACGCCCTGATCCATTTCGAACTGCTCAGGGACCCTGTCCGGTCGATAGATGACGCTGGACATGGCCTCGTCGTTCCACACGGGTAGAAATCCGGGGCGTATCAGGTCGGAGTGCACAGAATTAGCGGGGTTTGGCGGCTCTGCACCCTCAACAACTGGGCCGCCCGCAACAACTTCCACAGCAGGGGGAATTTCATTTTCTGCAGCCTCCACAACTGGCTCAGCCTCAGTAGTTGGTGCGGTCCCCTAGAACGTGGTTCTTCTTCAACATCTGGAAGTACTGCCCTGCGGGTCCTGAACCTTGTGACGCTTGTAGCAGTGGGAAGGTCGTCGTCATTATCGTCGTCTGAATCTGAGGAAAGTCCGATGGCAGTAGAAGAACCTCTGGGGTCGGTGGCATGGGTGGGCCCTGAAAAGAAAAAAGGTTATGTGATTACCAAAGTAAATGTAAGAAGTCCAAGGAAGCAATGCAAAATATTTCTAAGTATGGATACGTTTCGGAGTCTCTTCTTATTTGGTGAGGCACGTGCCTCGGCAACCGATGCTGCTACCTCTTGGGCTGCCCTTAGTCTGGAGCGGGTCGTTCGTACTTGTCGTGCGGACTTGAGGGGGTGCAATTTGCTCCAAACGGGTGAGGCTTCTCCACGGTAGTCAGGGATAGAAGCTTGAAGCGACAGAATATACTGGTCTGTTTCCCTCGGCCAGAGGGCAAACGAAGAGATTAGTCAGGCTGCGGGATGGGTTCCGTCGCAGGGACTACGGGAGCACTGTTGCAAAAGTTGAAGAAAGAATTGAGTTTGCGGTGCCAGAACAACCTTTTACTGGGAGTAAAAGCGCCCCCTCTTCCAAGTGAGAGAAGCCCCATGAAGCCTAAGCCCTCCACAAGTAGAGCGGTATAATCACGGGCAAACCGCTGAAAGCTCTGGTGGTAATCAGTTTGAAGCGGAGGGGTATGTGGGACGCCCTGATCCATGCCGAATTGCTCAGGGACCCTGTCCGGTCGATAGATGACGCTGGACATGCCCTCCTCATTCCACAAGGGTAGAAATCCGGGGCGTATCGTAGCAGCAATAAGAAGGGAGTTGGCCTGGACACGGTTGAGGGAGAAATCAACATGGCGAGCCTCGGAAAAATAGAATGGAACCACATGAATGCTTGAAAGAAGCTGAGTGAAAGGGCGGAACACACATTCCTCCATGCGGTTTTCATAATCTGCAAAAGGTCTGTTCGTGCCATGACCAGACCACCGAGAGATGCGAGGGAGGAAGGGAGTGGCGCACTTGCCTCTTGACAGGTCGACCCTTTGCATCTAGAACAGGACGACCCTCTGCATCAAGAACTTCGTCTGTGAAGAAAGGCTTATGTTCTTTAGGGACGGGGCCCGTGGCAGGGAATCTCTCATAGAAGAAAGTGGTCAGGAACTGAGTGTGTACAAAGCTCTACACATCATAGCGGGCCCATGGATCGCTCTATGTCCGAATGGATGAGATCAAGGCGGAAGTATAAGTTTCCCAAGAAGAGGGGGGCCAGAGGGTTGCTGGGGAGAACAAAAAAAAATGAAGTAACTGACGAAGGCGGCCAAGTACAAGTCGCTGCGGTAGCCCGGCCCAACTGCGGAGTTGCGACTCTCCTTTGTGATGTCGGCCATAACTGGTTGCAGGTCCTTGAAGAAATGCTTCAACCAGAAAGATAAGTCGTTTTGTCCCTCTTGGGCCTCTCCTGGAGTAGTTCCCCTGTCCTAAGATCAGACCAAGAGCCATACTTCCGCGCCGCTCGAAAGGCTCCTTGGAGGGCAGTGACAGAAACTTGTTTTGCAAGAGTTAGGGACGCTGGATCGAAGGGGTGATCTCCACGAGTGCTCAAGCGTAGAAGGACAGCAACATCTTCGAGGGTTGGAGTTATCTCCCCCCATGCCAAAGAAAAAGTGTGAGCGTTACGGCTCCAGCGAGAGACAACCATATCAGTGTTGGTTAGTACTTTGCGCACTAATAACACCCTCAAAATCGAAATGGCATTGTAGAGACGAACATCCCGTAATTGCTGCTCGAACCCACCATCTGCAATGATGTCATCAACCCAGAGGGACCAGCCTGTTGAAGGGCCTGAGTGAGTGCGATAGTAGATGTATGAATGGGGAAAGTCACCACGCTCCACGCGAAACCTCAGCACAGAAACTGGGTTCACCATGTTAGCATCATCCAAAGCAGCCTCACTAAAAGGAAGCAGAGGCTCCCCCAAAGGAAGGGCATCAGGAACGAAGGAGTCAACGGCCTTCCAGAAAGGGTCAGCTAGCCATCCGAAGTATGAGGCCCTCCTCCACTCAGTAGGGGGTGGGTCAGCCCTGTCGGGTAGAAACCTTGTGCGGGCCATAAGGAAGTATAAAGAAAAATAAAGAAGACTCTGGAAAGTGGGGGCAAGGAAAAGAAGACAAGGAGACAGAAAGTGTGTTTGGGCGGAAGTGGGGGACCAATGGACCCAAGGGCGCTATTTATGAAGAAAGTAGCAAAAGGGCGTCGACACACTTCCCTAGGCCCATTATGACCTGTCAGTCAAGAGGGTATTCCTTTTAAGAGCCGACGCAACCCTTGGGTTACTTGCTGGCGTCATGCACACGCGGGAAACCAGGAACGTGTCCCCCACGGGGGCAGGGGGCAAATGTAGAGGGTCAGAAATTAAACCCCCAATGAAGTATGGGCCTAAGTACTGAGGTCGCCCCAAAGAGGCAACCAGGAATGAGAAAGGAGCATGGGCTAAAGTCTAAGGGAAGTGGGCCAACAGTGGGCCGGAGTAGGTCTGACCCGCCATGGGTCCAAACAGACTCCACGAAGGAAAATGACCAAGTCAAGTTGCAGCGGGAACACATGAGTTGTAGAGG